CTGTCTGGAGGAATCAACGAACAAACTACGGAATGACAACCGAAACCCGTCGATAACACTCCCCATACACCTCGGTTGCCATGTGTGATTGAACCGCTGAAACATCGACTTGTGAACACTTTGCTTAAGAGTGGATTGAACGCAAACCCTTCTTGAGGATTCAATTATCAATGTGTGCACTCACCACACGATCCGTGCCCCGCACTATCGAGACATAAACTATTTATTTATTTTTACTTATGACTACCTTTTTACACACTTACTGTAATGTTAAATATTACTTTTTTTGTCCCGGAGGGGACAGCATAGGAAGAGAGTACAAATCTCGTTGCTCAGAGCTATCAATTTCTGCAGTTTTCGAACGCACTTAAGTGATGACGAATCCGAAAATTATTTCCAGAACTGTCTAGCATATCGAGAAGTCGAGCAGTCACCGTTTTCGACACTCCCCCGTACAAGTTAGTCGGTTTTCTTTGTGCATATATTTTATATTCTTTACTTCATTGGGCCGATCACCTGAGAGGACGGAGTTAAGCTTTTGACGCTAATAATTATACCCATGCAAAGCGCCATTGGTTCCCCGGTCATGAAAAAGTGCTTCACTCAAAAACCAGCTGATGCTACGGGCTAGGTGGCTTGATTATCCACACTATATACAAAGAAAAAACAGCCTAAAGAAAAGTTACATAAGTGGTGACTTATCTGCTTTAAAAGCTGTACCGGCATGCGGCCAGATGGGGCATGGAAATGCGAGTGAAATCCAGAGAGAATAACCTGCATGGAAGCAGGTCCCCAGGAGGCGGTCCCAGTATTGGTCGTATTAGTTCCCTTATACATTTTATGTGTCTACACTTGTTTTTTTGAAAACCGCACAATCTTCCAGAAAGATTTAACCCACCAAGTAGCCATGTCCGCCAAAAAGCTTGCGGATTGCTTCGGAAAATTTAAAAGAAAATAACACCTGCTTCTTGTGATTCTGCCGTACACCAAGAATCGTAATATCCAGTCGGACTGTACCTCGATCCGACGAGGAGTATACCGTTGATTTTTATTCGCTACAACTTCATATTCGCAATGTACTACCAGTACATATTTGATCTGTGCCAAATATGGGCGCAGATTCTCACTTAAAGAGGAATATACATTCTTCTTATTAGTTGGTGCTCTGCACACTGTTACAAAAGACGCTCGACATTGTCCTTACGGTCGAAGTCTAGCCCATACGTACCACCTAGCTGAGCTTCTGAAGAGTTTAGGCGACATACTTGTGAATTCATATCCCCTGCAAATATTATGAGATGTAAACTGGTAGCACTGCATAGTAGCGTGTTCAGTTTGCGGTAGAATGTGTCCATGGCAGAACTGTAGTCAGTGGAAGCATAAGCGGGAACCAGAAACAAATAGCATCTTGTACTACTTCGCACATCAACCTCGGTCGATGGCGTCAAACGGGCTGCACACAAAGGCTGTTCGTCGAAATCCAATCAACGAACGATGGCTAAGCCTTGGAGCTGAGAATCATACTCACCTTAGTTTGATTGGTGATTGTTACATCAGTGTCTCCGGATGCATGCGACCAATGGCCAGAGAACATACCGAGTGCAATTAATTCAACAACCATATTAGGATGGTTGTTCCTGGTTTCGGATACGCAAGACACGACAATACCAAGTGTATCCAACGTGCATGCGAGTGTAGCATGTTAAGCTATTTGTTGAACGCCGTCATGGAAACTGGACAGCGTGGCCTCATAAGCGGCTGTTGCCGATAGGCGTCCGATGGGTGTTGTGGGAAGGTGGCTGCAGATGGCTCTACTCCAGTGGCATTTTGCTTGCTGCTAATTAAGCTGGGAACTATAGAAAGAAGGTTAGTAATGGGGATCGGGATGGTAATAAGATAAACAAAGGGAAAAGAAAGAAGGGACGTGCCAGCAGTGGCATGATTTCGCTTGTCCGCCCTGCTATATGCAGCAAATAAGACGACGCTTGATAAGCTGCGCGACGGCCGATGCAGGATGTATTTAACGTTTGGGAAAATAGTCATGGTTATATGTGGACTGAGATGCTGCCATGGCGCCCAGACCTAGACAGGACGATTAGGGCCCCAACCGAAGTCTTTGGCTCAAAAGCCTGTCCACAAGTAAGCGGTGAGGTGACAATGAGTTAGTTTTACAGAAATGTATCATTTGAAATCGCCAACCTGGAGGACCAGGGAACTGAGTTCGCCTGACCTGTAACTACTGACCAATGGGGTAGCTCCCAAGGGGCCAGAGGGTGCCACTCAATACAGCTCAATGGATCAAATATGTACGTAAACCGTATTAAGGTCCAGCCTAGATGAAAGCGATAAGGCATCTACAATCGCCCCAGTTCATCTGTCCCGTTTCAACACAACGTGTTCATGTCGAATCTGTTCCAAAGTGAGAGGAGTGATATAAACTTCCCAAATAGGGTCAGGTGATTTGGTAAGCAGCCTGTTTCAGCTTAGTTGGTTGGAGGCTTATCATGAGATCAAGACAAATTTGTAATGACAAGTGATACCGAGGATTCTGAGTTGACAGTGCTCAGACCTATATTTGGTTTCCGTGGAGGATGGAGCCTCAGGGTGCACGTACTGGATTCATCATCATCATTATCATACACGTTAGCTAGAGGTGGGGAGCACCTCAGCTACTGTGCCGCAATAAATAGAAAAAAATGGAGAGAAAAAATGCAACTGGTGCAAGCTGGCTGAGCCGCCGGTAACGGATGGGCATCGATCCGGTAAGCTACAGCCGGCTGCTGTGCATCAAAAAATTTACTATGCAAAATTACATAAAGCTAAATAATGAGATCGTGGTTGGAAGGGTAGGCTAAGAGGGATGGGGTGGGGCAAAGAAACTCACAGCACGAAGGCCACTAAGGTCAGCTCCTAAGCATATCAGCAAGTGTGTCCAACCAAACATGTTCATCGTCTTTCGGACCCCAACCAGGGAGCCAAGACGTTCCAACCGAGGCCAGCTCAGAAGTGAGGGCCTTCATTCCTCTCGACCAAGTCATCGCTTGGCCACCCCTCCTCTTCTTCCATCCACACCCCCGGGAGCGCAAACAACGCAAGTCGCGGAAGTCGGTGGGCTGGCATGCGTAACACGTGGCCAAACCATCGGAGCCTGGTGCGTGAAATAACGGTGCTGAGCGGTTCAGTTCCTTTTCCTGTGCCATAAACAAGGCGTCGAACACGCTCGTTGCTCACGCGGTGTTCCCACCAGATGTGAGCTAAATTACGAAGGCACCGGTGGTCGAACGTAACTAGCCTCTTCAGGTCCGCTGCTTTAAGCGGCCAGGTTTTACAACCGTACAGTACGGTCGAACGTACCGCTGAATTGTAAACGCTACCCTTCAGGGCAAGAGTAATGTCGCGCCGGCGCCATAAGTGGCGAACGTTAGCAAAAGCGCCCCGAGCTTTTGCTATACGATTCGTGATTTCATCTTCAATCCCACGGGCGCTGATACAACTTCCCAGGTAGTTGAATTTTTGAACGACTTCTAGCTGATCCCATCCTAGGGTCAGCGTAGGAGGCGGTCCAGATCAATCATGGAAAAACGCTTTGCACTTCGATGATGCGAAGCAAAGCCCGAAGTGACGGACAGCTAGTGCTAATCTGTCCAGTGCCGCTTGGCACGTTTGTGCGCTGTCACAGATTAGGGCAATATCATCAGCAAACTCCAAGTCAAGAAGTCGTTCTCCTGGGAGTAGCTCCACACCTTCTAAGTCGTGTCCTGTAAATGCAATCTCCATGACTTCTTTAACAGCGAAGTTGAAGAGGAAAGGTAAAAGCGGGCACCCTTGTCTCACGCCGCTGGAGATGTTAAAGGGCGACGACAACTTGCCGTAAGCCCTCACTCTACTCGAGCTACGCGCATATAATGCTCGGATAATATTCACATATTTCTCGGGCACATCTCTCCTGAGTAGACAGTCCCAAAGTGCATGTCTATCCACCGAATCGAATGCACCTTTAATATCGAGGAACACGACAACGGTGGGCCGCCAATATACATGACGGTGCTCCAACAACTGACGCAAGGTGAAGATGTGGTCAATGCAGCCACGACCTCGACGAAATCCAGCTTGCTCTTCACGAATCTGGCTTTCACGAGTGCCAGTCAGTCTGTGAAGGATGACAGATGCAAGCAATCTGGAGGCGATGGAGATCAGACTGATTCCTCTATGGCTGCCGCATTCCGATCGTGAGCCTCCTTTTAAAATTGGGACTATGACGGAGCGGCTCCAATCGGTTGAGACAGTTTCTTGCTCCAATATTTTTATTAGTAACTCGTGTAAATCATCAACAAGAGCAGAGCCACCCAATTTGAAGAGGGCTGGAAGAAGATCATCAGGTCCAGCGGCTTTATTTTACTTCAACAGTTCGATCTCACGTTCGATTTCTGAGCGAGAGGGTGGATCCAAAGGGACAGCCCACGGAGCGGGGCGATCAGTGGCCGGCGAGAAATCTAACAATTCCGACCGATGGAATTGCCTTTTACAGTGTTCAGCCCAACGCTCTAAGCGTTTTGATAAGTTGTGGATAGGCTGGATTACAGATGTGCGTATACGAATAACATATATATGTTCCACACATGACCAACAAGCAACACAAACGCAGTCAATGGAAAGAATACTAAGTTCTGTGTACGTATACCGTTCACATTTCAACGTAAAACGAGTTGAATGCACCCAGAATCCTACGGTTTACACAAGTGGAAGGCCGGTACAACCTAGCACATACAACTTAATGAAATAGACCGATTCCTCATAGTTTGTAAACTAGCCCAAGTGAAAAACAGTGCTGAGAACAGGTATAGTGATAAACAACGGACATTTATATACAAGTATACAATGAACAAATTCAATTTGCATCAAGAGACGAATTTCTCTTCATCTCCTCTATTCGCTGCTTGGAATGTTCGATAAGCAGTTTAATGTAGCTCCGCCGGTGCTCGTCGACATCTCGCATTAAATCCCTGTGTTCCAAGTGGTGCTGCGTATGACAGAGTGAAGAGAACACAAGTGTTTGGAAACAAAGGGAGAAAGAAAAATTCAATAAACCATGGAAGTGAAACCAATAACACGCAATTGTTCAGATGTTCGTGAAACAACTCGAATTCAATTTATCAAAGGTGTTGAGCGGCACCCAGTTATCGAAGTGGCCTTGATGTCGGGCGGTGGCCGAGGGGTCTGCACGCCTGGCTTGCAATCATAAGGTCACCGGTTCGAATCCGCGTAGGGTTGGGCGACCTCGCGGTATATTCAGCCCACGCGCGACTGGTGACTGTCGCGAAGCGCCATTATGGCGTACAGCTGACGCATTATTTTCATCATCTAGCCAGCCTTGAGACGTCTCCATAACAGCTAGATAAGTTCGAAGGCAATCGGTGCGAAGAAAATTTTGTTGACAACTCTCATCAGGCGTGTACAATTATGATGCGAATAATCAAATGAACATTGCGCTTTTTTCTAGCCAGCAATTGCGTAGTAGATGTTCTGACAAGAGAAGTGTACAGTGGTTCAAATTAAACAAACTACTACGGGTCAAAGATCATATGACTAAGCTGAGTCCATGGCAAGATAATGGTTTGCGCCAGTCTTCTGCCTACACAGTTCTGGGTGTAGCCGTCTGATTACAATGGCTTCAGCCGTAGTCAGCATATGCCTTTTGAGCCCTTTTGGGGTCCGCTTCGGTACAGCGTAGAAAATTTTAAAAGTCGTTAACTCTTATTTAGCGTTCGGGATTAACACCGGTCGGCTACAGCCAGAACTGTGTAAGCAAAAGACTCTGGTTGTTGTTGCCATGGGCTTAGCTTAGTCATGTAACCTTTAGGCAACTGACCCGTAGTAGTTTGATTTGAACCACTGCATACTTCCCTTATCAGGACATCCACGACCTTGCAATTGCAGGCTAGAAATAGCGTAATGTTCATTTGATTATTCGCAGCATAACTGTACATGCCTGATGATAGTTGCCAAAAAGAAATTTCCTCGTATCAATTGTCTACTAACGTCGAAATGGGTATAATCTACGAGTTAGGAAAGTGCTCTTACTTTTCCAAAGGTCTGGTTATATGGTGGCTCAGGCGCATGACTTGCAAACTTCTGAATCCCAGTCTCCGCATTGTTAGTCCCCCTACAATAAGTGTAGCAGTTTCAAGGCAATACAAAGTCTAACTGAAGTGATGGCAGGTACTTACGACCCTGTCATGGGACAGAAGCGATTGTAGGTTTATTCGAAGATGCGCCGTCGGACCAATATTCTAGTGCTCGACAATGAAACGATGAGGAAGGCCATGTGATATGGTCAATATGATCATCAGTCAGACGTACAGGAAGAACACAAAAAAGATGAAATAGGAGAGGTTTTGCAGTAGATATGCCGATTGATTACGACAAACCATATGCTTTCAGTGTGGTGGCTACGCGGTGCTATCGCGCCAACAACTGATCTGCAACATTTGCTGAATGTGTCCAGAGAGTAAAATAGATGAAGTGAAAGCAACAAGTATTGACATAGGGACAGCCAGGAACTCAGTCATTGGCAATGGTATCGGGAAGCGCTGGAAATATGGAAGGCTGTAGGGTGATACTCGAATATGCTTCAGTTAGAAGCTGGGGGGGGGGGTTTCACAGAGAATCTGTCGTTAAAAACAGGTGTCAATGGCTCATCGATTAAATGAAAGGAACGGTAACGAATTAACAACCATCGGATTACTCCTTACATTGGCAGGAGTTCCACCGTCTGAATGCACAGAGAGCTGGAGCAGTAATATACGCTGTGACATGGAATAACGGTACTAAGTCGCTGAAAAGGCTCCTAATGAGTTCATCAATAGCCGTAACCTTGGTGCTCCTGTATGTATTGGTGCATCACAACTTACCTGCAGTGTTGGGAGGAAGACTGTCGCTTTGAACTCCAATTCTTCAATGAATTCGGATTTCGCGACTCGACGTTGAGTTATTCGATCCAAAGTGGCCTTTAAAATAGAAAGACAGTGAATGAAATAACCGTATAGACAAGGAAGTAGGGCAGATAATAGTTTGTGTAAGTGAACAACAAAAGAGAGACGCAACTAGCAAGGGGATGGCCTTAACTGAAGGAAGAGTGACAAACAGAGTAATCGCAAAGAAACAATGGACGAAGAGCGGCATAATTGATACTTATGATGAAACAACCTTGGGATGGGGACTTACTTCAAGCTCATCGGAGCGAGCACGAGTTTCTCCTAGAAGGGTATGGATTTTAGATCGCTCAGTGGCCCAACACTGGCGCTGTTGTGCAAACTCCTGCTCCATCTTATCACGCTCAGTATCCTCAGTGACTAGCAGCTGATCCAACTTATCCGCTTGTTCCACCAGCTCAGAATGTTGAGCATTGAGGAGCGGAAGGCCCTGGAAGAGAAATCGAAACCGGAAATGAGGTGAGAATCGGAAGCAGGTTCTTTGCAATCATCCGGAATAGTGACGCGCACGCGCATTTAGGCTTAAGAGGAATTTAAAAACCGGCGCATGGGGCAGCGGAAGAAGCCATGCATTCCATATTAGAGGCCAGGAGTGCTAACATTGCGTGTCTTATAGGCGTGCCGCAATAATTAGGAAAATTAAGACAGACTTCCAACGACAGAAAATATCCGTCACCATCAAAAGCAGTACATCAGTAATTTGAACTGCTATGCAACCATAATGACGAACTAGAAAAGGAAGAATACAGAAAAAAGAGCGATAAGATAAAAATCTGTTACTCCATCGAAGATGGATCAGGTACACGCGGAATCCCGTTGCTAATTCCTGCGCGGTGGCAGTATATTGCAGCTGCTACATCTTATCCGAGTGTGATATGCACTATTTATTTGTAGGCCACAAAATGGGCGTCAAGGAATCCCTCAAATTCCGACACCGATTTCGCCTCGACTAGCCTCTCGGGTAATATTTTCCAATAGTTCACCCGTAGGCAAACATATAGCGTCAAGGTGTCTACCCCCTGTCAAAAACACATTCATAAGCAACTGGATATCGCGTAGAGATAGAGCGTCATCAGCGAGACAGGTTCCTTACAGCTTTCTCGACCCCGCAACATAATCAGTTTTACCCCATGGATAACTCAGCATCAGACAAAAGCTGGAACAAGTAAACCCCCTAGGAGAGGACAACATAAACGCCATTAGTACCGATTGCGACTAGTGCAGTGCATAATTTCGAAGTAAACACAAATGGGTCGCGTGGAAAGTGAGACAACAGAACCCACACTAGTTATCGCTGGCTCCTTCTTGCTGCCAAGTTAACTTCTGGCAGTATAGTGCGCCAACCAACGCACAACAAACACAGCAACGCTCTAAATAATAATAATAATAATAGTAATAATAATAATGTGCCAGCTGTACGCCGTAACGGCGCTTTGTTGCCGCGCGACTACCACCAGTCGCGCGCCGGATGAGTATACTGAGAGGACGCCCATCCCTAGGCGGACTCGAACCAAGGACCTTATGGTTGCAAACCAGGTGCGCAGACCACTAGACCACCGGTGAGCGGGGATCACGTATACGTGGCGCGCACCCAAGATAACGTAACTTAATGTATGTAATCCGTGCGATGAGGGAACAGGTTGATTACAATAGTATAGCACTAGACTGCGTACATCGTCATGGCGGATAAGCTGGTACCATTTGACACAAGCCATAGTCCACAGGGAACGACGTTCAATGACTCGAAGGCACCTCAGATCGTCCGAAGGAAGGAACCATTCACTTCCGACCCTCTGTGGTCTTGTATATAGGGGACTCACATTCTTACGTCACAGATGTCACAGGTTCGTAATATGTGAATTAGTTCTCATCTAATATCTGGTTACAGTCGAGTCGAAGCTACTCCAAAATCCTTAGTAGGACAGACGTGAAAAGTGAGTAGCCCACGTTCTCCCCTAGCCGAGTGGACAATGCCATTCAACCCAAATATGAAAACGGTGGGCCCCGTTCCGTCATGATCAATCAGCAATGGCACCAGGCTCCGCCTACTAATCACCACAGCAACTCAGACTTTCCTGATATCTGTGGGATTTCCAGGGCACGCACCAAACTCCGCCCAAATTGCTACAAAAGTAACCCTGCACCATCCCTTCTGGCACACTTGCGTCAATGAATCCCAGGTACTTTTGAATCAGTTCACGCGCTCGGTGACGAGCTTTGAGCAGCATGCCGCCCACAAGGGACTGAAAAGAGACCACATGTATACCCCATCCCTTCCTAGAAATGACATTGGAAATCACTTTCATTCGGACCGTCAGTACGAGGCACAACCAAAGTGAGGACTGGAGTATGGCTTGATTACACAACCCAGCAGCAGCACAGTGTGCGGTCCACTTGTGTGCCCCCCCCCCGAAAATGTCCAAATAGATGGTTATTCGGCAGAATACTCAGCGAATTTCTAAAATTCAAAAGGTCCGATCCTCTTTCCTCACATATGACAACGATACCGATAAACGCGAAGGTAGCAAAATCACTTTCGGTAATGCACTCGAAACTGCTGCATCCGTCCATTGAGCGTTCAGCATGTCTTCTATGCACGTGGGTTTACGGGATCCCCGAGATCCGACCTACTGTCACTAAAACTATTCGGTGTCTGCGATGTTCGGTTGAACTGGCACCGGATTAGGCCAGACCTTTGAAGCGTTCTTTTGACATGATGTTCAGTATACTGCTACCTTGTGAAGCCGAAGCCTGTGCTGAGCACCGTTCTGCGGCCCTTTTTCTATGTCTTTTGTGCATTCTATTAGTTTGGTGCAGCCCGAGCACAGGTGAAAAGGCTACGTGCACTTGCAAATGGGATGCGACCATAGTCCTCGAGACCGAGGACTATTGCAGTATGCTCTCAGGAAATAGACCACAGCCTAATTCCAACAGTGTAGGGTCACACCAAACGCACCTCCTCAAACAATTATGAGACTGTGCCCTCACCATCCGTATACAGGATACATCTACTGGCTTTGCTAACAATCAGAGGGGAGTACAACATTAGACGCCCAGACGCCACATTGGCAACTGTAAAGAACAGACTGCTCCTTATCCGTGAGAGAGGCCATACTGAGTCCACAAAAGTTGATTCACACCCATCCAGCTGACGTCTGATGTTCGCAATTGAACGGATGACCAAACCCCGCAGGAGGATTAAAAAGCAACAAGGATCTTTTTACAGTGCTTTCCCTGACGATCGCTGTAGATCTAAACTTAGCTAGAGGCATGTTGGAGTCTATGAAAAACACGTAACTAATCGTATTGCCAACAGGCTCTATTGGAGGCACTGGAACCCGGATCGCAACCATCAAACATAAAAGCAAAGGAGAGCTTCGAAGAGCGCGTTTAACTCTCGCACACGCCAATCACTGTTAGTGCTGTAGCTAAGACAGAACTCGTTATCAACCTCCAGTTCTTCGTTATCAAGGGTCAAAGGGTTATCAGTTGTGAAGTGCATACCGAACGGTAGGGTCACTCCAGAGTTCCTTCAAGGTCGACTTGGCAAGAACCCGTCGGAATCCCGAATACCATGATTTAAGTGAAAGCTATTTGATACAGAGTTGTAGCTAAAAAAGGAATGTCGCCGTACATGCTTTAGACCGAATCACCATGTATTCACTTGAAGGCGACGCGTGACGCCGCGGAAACACGTACGCAAGACATTAGTGAAATTGCCGAGTATTGCCCAGTCTAACGGGAAAGAAGCACAAGTACTTAGCGTGTAACAGCAGAGTACTAGTTCACGTAAGCTTGCGAAAACCGAGCAGTAAATTGTCAGCTAGGTGGCAAATAACTACGGCATCAATTTTGGCAACAACACATCGTCATCAGTTTTCGCCTGAATGACGGTGTCATTCAACCAAGAACAATTGGCAGCGGTTTAGTGATGATACTCCTACACCATGCCAGTATCCCAAGTAGCTGATAATCGTGGAAAGATAAGGCAACATTGCAGCGAGACTAGGACACAAAGTGCTGAGATGAGTGGTCCGGAACATCATGACAGCTAATTAAACCGCACTAGTCGATGGTTAGAGCTCGGACAAAGTCTCCTGATCCAACAAGCTGATGTACGGCCCCAAATGGTGCATTTTTCTGCGGACGGCTGCATCTTATGGATCACTGTTGCATTCCTTTCACACGCTGAAGGGCCCTCGAGTCAAATGTCCGCTCGTCATATCCGAATTTGAGCACCATGGTAATAGCTCACCGACTGAAAGATAGCTGCGATTTTACTAACAAGTCGTGTAACGTCAAAATAGTCATCTAATCCGCCCCAAGCACAACCGGGAGAAAAACTGAAAACGGGATGCTACTGCTGTACTCTTACTCTAATTTCCGACTGTTTCTTGGTGAAGGCTATTACGAGCATTTCTCCCATAGTCAACCATCACAAAATGTATCGATCCACTAAGGTAAAAATCCCCTTGGCAGTGCAGGTTGTCTGGTTTCAAGTAGCATCCGACGATACACTGCAAGCCGCACAAGTCAATAAGCTGCTGCACTTGCACACATACTAGGTGCGCGAGGTGTTGACATCTTATGAAAAAATCAGTACTGCGTCGCGGAGGAAATCGATTGGCGGTGACAGGTTCAGGGTAGATATGAAAAACTTCCCGGCTGACGTGACCCGCAGTTAACGTTCCATTGTGGGAATGCCCCAGACTGGCACCAAAACATGATCCAATCTGAGGACTGAACCCCGATCTAGAAGAAAGGTTTACGAGAATTAAAAAGATACGGTCTCGTGCACGCATCGATGGCTGATGAGAGAGAAAAATACGATGGAAGAAAACGTTTACCGTTCGTAGGTTATGGTTGCTTTCAGCAATAATTTTCAAGTTCGTTGGGATAATTGACAGTAGCAGGAATGCGTGCACTCGGATACAAGTTGTGAGCATTGTTGACTATTACGTCACTCTGCTCCTCACATGTGGGTGTATCATTCGCAATGCACAAACTCAACTTCCACAATAAAAGCTATCTTACTGGGATCTTGAGCCCCTCTCACATCTTTGATTCGCCGCATCACCGTTCGCCAAGTACAGTCAGCATAAATGGGAAACAGGTGTCTGTCAACCTGGATGAGTGGTTGCTATTTTGATCTCCAGTCGTAAGAATAACTTTGTTCAGTTTCCAGTTTTAGTTTAAGCAACAAGGATCAGAGCGCAGAAGTGCGCTGGATCCATTTGTCAGGACTAAACCACAAATAACTGTGTTAAGAACCTGACGTTGAACATAGAATGGAAAGAGGTGCGTAAAGCTAATCAGTATGGAATGAAAACTAACAGCTATATGCAAGAAACTGAAATCAGAAGTGTCAGTAGGTGATTGAATGTCCCATGTTCGGTAGTGTCCAGCCACGATGACCGAATGCTGATCAAGTCACTGAACCACTTTTTCATGCACTTACGCCACATGATGGACTGACCATCTCGCCGTTTCGCCAAAGTTGGTGCGGTGACGGCGGACAAGGTATACCGAGGCCGTCAACGAGCACACTAAGGATATGACCCACCGAACGTTAAAAGTTAGCAGACATTTCAATGGGGCACCAGAGAATTTGTTGCCAAAACACTAACTGGTGGACTTCAGTATTGCACATCCGGTGTTCGCGCGCCAGATGTTAGCAAGACTCAGCAAGCATCGGTTGTCAAACATGATCAATCACATAATGTCAACAGTACAAGTAGGCACATGATTGATTCATGCAGCCATGGCGGCCTAATTGCAGCGTTATACATCTCACCGTTTTCATTATTAGTTACGCGTCCGAAAAGCCACACAAGCCTTGCTGATAAGTGAAGTAACCTTCTCAGTGATATGATCACCATAGGTGATAGAGTCACCAAGATAGATGAACCGGTCGACCACTACTAGTGGCTGTTCGATGATTGTTAGACCGGTGGTGCGTCGGCCTTGCAACATCATTTTGAGCTTCGAAAATAAAAAGCATGCAGCGCTACGCGTTGGTACACCCAATGGGGCTTGCATAGACACTTCATACTCAGGGTTTGTCGGTCGGTCATTTCGAAGTAAAATGAAAGAGCGCCTCATGTAGGACCATTACGAGCAAAAAGTTGAAAAGAAAAGTAGCTACAGGACAACCCTGGTGAGCACTTCTTCCAGACTGAGTAAAAAGTGTCGACTGTGCATCTGGTTGAAACGGAATCTCCACTATGAGTGGGATTTCATGTTCTATGACTTAATGAGCGTCAAACTAAGCTCATTTCGATTCATGGGTAACGGAGTGGTTCAGCAGTATGGCTTGTAACCCGAGGGTCACAGGCCTGCGTAGTTGCGCGCAACGTCGCAGTACACCAACTCGGGTGAAACCGCCTCCGGCTGCACGAAACTAGGCGTCAATGCTCCGTGCTCGTGTACGGCTGGTAGCATTTGGTCAATATCCACTTGGCATCCGTCACCACCACGACCACGAATTTGCCACTAGACTAATCACGGTGAGATAGGAAGGTAAAATCAAAGCCCCATTTCCGGTCGGAAGCATGAAATCCGCCTGCGATAAATCGTAGTTTGCTGCCCAAAGGCAGTAAACCTGAAATTTCCAACGTGTAATAACATGAAATGTTCATTACAGCAGGAAAACCAGCAGTAAAATCAAAGCATCAACAACAAAATGACCAAGCGACTAGTTCTCTAATGTATCGAATTCTTTCAAGATACTTAGAACCGATTGAGTAGTGATGAGTTCAGAGGCTTTGAAATAATCGGCTGGTAGAAATGTTCGCTCTTGACAGAAGAACTTCGTCAGACCAGGTGAGACCAGGAGAGGCGTTTTATAGCGAACAGGGACGATAACCGCGTTTGCCGAGACTTGAGCCAGGGTGTCATTACAGTCAAAGTTTATGATATCACCTCAGTTGGTTTAATCACAGTGAGAATTGTCCAGGTGTTCCCTTGTGCGTCATGGCATTGACGGATAAGCCCATAGTGGTGACAATGGAAGTTGAGTTGCACATTCCAATCTGATCCCCGAACCGACGCTCGTCAAGCTGGTCGGCCTAAGATCGCTCGCCACGCCGCAGAGTTCTACCCCCTCCATTCTATTCACACAGCCGTCTGATCTGGCAATTTCCAATGCCTCGGCAATCAACCGCTGGGGCGTTGATCGCATATCCCTCCTAATGACATCTACGTTATCCCAGTCGATCTGGTGACCCGTGTCTAATGTATACACGGCTACGGTCGAGTCCCTTACTATTCAAACGCGTTTGTCGGTGACGTGACAGTATTTGTGAAGTAAATGAAGCGTGAATATTTCGTCCACGAAACTTCAACCGGCCTGCTCCACTCGATAGTGTCTCACTAGTTGAAAATACCCAGCGCAGAATGATAGATACTTGCAACTTGGAGGTAACCGATACCAGACTGATCGCTCCGTCATTGGCACATGAAGTGTGAGAACCTTCCAGAAAGGTGTGAAAACAACCGATTAGTATAGTTTGTGGGCAACATTTCGCATCTGACACAAAAGCTTCGTTAAGCCGAGCGAATCAGTGGTGTATTTCAGGACAAAGCTCGAGTTAAATGGGCGGTTCTAATGACAATATCCAGGAGACACAACTAGGTGCGCTGGGTTCGAAATTGGACGGCAAGAAACAACGGAATAGAGATTTCAAATGCGTTTTGGCAAGTTGGTAATCTGTGATCTGTCTGCATCACAGATGATTTCACTGATAGTAGACCACCCGTATCAAGTGATCCGAATGAGCTGAAACAAGGAGAATTTCCGGTGAGAACGGTGATCTTTAGCTGCAAAGCGCGTTGAGAGTACCAAACTTCCTGATGGCCGCGACGATTTCGTTTGAGATGCCAGCTGATAGTGCGGTACACATTGGTAGTTGGCCACAGTGACAGGCAAAATCACCAGTGGATTAACGAACCCACCAGATGACCTGGTCTAATATGTTGTCAATCAGTCCCAAGGACGGATGCGGGTTGACACCCCCAACACAGTGTTTCGGGAATCTTACCAGCTCTTAAACCAGCAGACATAGGGGATGCGTTCAGTGATAGAGGTTCGTATCCACCACTGCTCAATTAAATAACTTTGGATAGACGTGCAAAATTACTGAAGCTGGTAAACACGAATGAAAAGAGAAGTTAAAATTAACCAGTTATCAACAATTCGTACGAACTACTTGTAGATGCATCACTGTTTAGCAAATGGAAGCGGCTGGGATATGGTCAAAGTGAGCTAAATGCGGCGGAAAGGACTCTTACATGATCGCCGAAGCAAATACACACAAGTGACTACAGCGGTTATGAGACACGGGCTGAACACTTGACACAACAACAAATCGGTACAGCATACAACGTCCTGATGTGCAGTTGGAGATCTCGGTAGCTAATAATGGGTGGTTGGTAAGGAAAATCAACAAACAACTGGTGAGTGAGCCACAAATGCATAGAAAGGTAGGAGCACATACAAGGTTATCAATTGATGTCTGTGTTTCCGAAATTTGCCGGCACAATTCAACCGAGTGTTCTTCGACCTCTGCAACCAAAGACTGGATGCATTTCAGACAGGAACTGACATCCCCCATGGCAGCAGCTACCTCGCACGTGATATCGAAGCCGGAGCGGTATGTGCGGACCTTTAGATCACATCTTTGTGCGACAGCCTCATATTCAGGGACCTAGGACAAAGGAAAGATAAGTCAGCGGAAAAATACCATGCGACGTTGAATGCAAACGCACAATAGGAAGCAGAAGAAGTAGGTATCAGCATTGGGCCGGTACGCATTACCGACGCTCCGCTGCCGTGCAACCACTACCAGTCATACGTGAGGGTCGCCCGGTTCCTATGCAGGCTCGAATCCGATTACAAGGCAGGCCTGTGAACCTTAAGGTTAAGGGCCGGCAAAACACGGGATAAAGGCAGATGATATCAACCAGATAAGTCGAACAGGATGCACATCAAGAAACTTGGGCAAGAGGAGCAAACGAACAGACTCACCTTCAGTGTGGTAACCAGACGATTGTATGTATCCAAAGCAGGCGCAATGCGCCCCTGACGACGGCTGAACGCCAATTCCTTCTGTTCAATCTCTTTTTGAATCTCTGTCTTGTCTTGTATTCTGGACTGGTATTGCTCTTGAAGAATACGGTAGTCTTGTATGAGTCTACCTAGGCTGAAAAGGTAGGTAGGTCGGATACTAGTGGAAGCTGCTGTTTAAAATGACGAACAGAATGACTAGTGCGTTTCAGTAAAAGAAGGTTCGTATGTGGATTAGGAGGAAATGTGGTACTGAAGGAATTCGCGAGAGTAAAACACCCGACGGAATCCAGATTCGCATGGAGACTGCGTAGGTCATGAACTAATGAGCAGCGCTGAGTAGCAATTCCAAAACATTGTCAGAGTCAATCAAACAGGGCCGAACAACAGTAACGTGCTTCAGGGCTGGCTTGAAGAACTACCTTCTCGTGGTGCCAGCTGGGTGGTTCGGGCGTACCCTGCTCCAGCAAAGTGCTCGGTGACAAAGTTTCACCTCGGTGGGACATTGTATACCAGCAATTGTGCTGATTTCATGGGGAGTATTGGGCCCCTGTTTGGTGATTTACCAAACAAAAACGCACGAACTGAACATTTAGTCAGCGCCTTCCAATAGCCGCGATTCCCTAAATTTGCCCCGGTGCCTTGCGGGTAGGTTATTTGGCCAAAGGCACGTAGTGGAGTCCCCTAAGTCAACTCCTTACTTCGGTTTGGGTAACCGGGTAGTATCACGCCCTCCACAAAACCATGGACTGTACTACAACGTGCTCATCAGCTATTGTTTCCGCTTCTTACATTCACGCGACTTCATCACACGCAAATTGTTTGTTTGCTAACAATCCGCACTTTCCCTTACTCGATTCATGTGTTTAACAATCTGGCTGCGATTCCGGTTGCGCCGCGGACCAAGGAGTTCAACCTATGGCTCTCCTTCGTCCCCGATCCTCGTTCCGTCTGGCGTGCTTCAACGTTCGGACACTCATGCAGATTGGACAGCTAGCCGGTCAAGCGCGCACCCTTGAGTCCCAAGATATTGATGTCTGCTGCTTTTCAGAAACCCGGTTGCAATATCCAAGCACCGTGTTTACATTTACATTCCCCAGTGACCACGAAGCGAGATATCACCTGTGCCTTTTTGGAGATCCAGAAGCAGCCTCAGTGCGTTTGGCTGGTGTAGGTATAGCACTAAGTGGCAGGGCCGAGGCGGCACTACTGGACTGGTTCCCGATTAATAGTCGACTATGTGCAGTTCGGCTTCGAGGTTCATGTATAATCAACAAGCACCGCGAAGAGAGACACAACTTGTTTGTGATCTCCGTGTACGCTCCAAATGACTGTAGTGGCGACTCGGTCAAGGACGAATTTTACCGGGATCTACATCAACTCTTGACTAGTGCTGTCGGATGCCGTTACCATACGAACGCCAACTTGGTGGTCATCACGAGCTCGATGAGAACCGCTCTGATAACGGAAAACGGCTTTTCACATTGTGCGAAGACAACCATCTGTTTCTCTCGAGCACTAACTTCAGGCGTACGAAGAAGCGTTCCGCAACGTAGCGTCCCTCTTCGCCAACACATCCGTGGTCTCAAATTGATTACATTGCAATTAGCTTCAGTTGGTGCGGCAGCGTGCTGGACCGCAGGTGCTTTTGGTGCACCATCGTTGACTCAGATCATGCACTGGTCTGCGCGAAAATCTGTATGTTTTGGGGGATCCCGAAACACGAAGCACCGCAAGATTGATGTAAACAGATTAACTGATTCCTCTGTCCAGGCGAGCTGTCAGTCTTCACTGGCATATGCACTCATTTGCAATCCACCGCAAGACGTGGTGCAACACTGGACTTGTATACAGAAAGCGATGACCATTTCCGGAAAGTCAAGCTGCGGCCTAACTCGATGCCCCCTAAAGGTTTGGATCTCTGCTCGTTCTATGGAGCTGTTCGAACGTTGCAAACATATGCCGGCGGAACAAGATTGCAACGAGCAGCGCCGTTCTGCTAACCTGATGCTCAAGCAAAGCGTACGCGAGGATCGCGAGGCAACGTGGTCAGAGAGTGCTTTAGAGATGGAGACCGCTGTCCACCCTGGCAACACCCGCAGGCTTTTCCAACACATTCGGTCCAATGGCATCAGGAAGCCTGGTGTCAGTGAGGTCATTTGTGAGGTGGATGAGTCTCCGACTACCAACCAACAGAGGTGCATGGACCACTGGGCTGAACACTTTCAATCGCAGTACAACTGGCCTCCACCATTCATCAGTACATGCTGTAGAACTTATTGTCCACTCTGGTTAGCTCCACTTAATCCACCCAGCGAAGCGGAAGTCTGCCTTGAGATTCGACGCTTGAAACGCTTCAAGACTGCCGACTCAGACGAACTTCCCGGAGCTCTTCAAATGCGGTGGTTTGGCGATCATAAACCAGCTGACCGTGCTGTTCGCAAAAAGCTGGCATAAAGAGAAAGTGAAATCCACTTGGAGAGAATCTGTTATTGTCCCGATTTTCAAGAAAGGCGCTCGCACTTCATGTGTAAATCATCGCGGGATTAGTCTTATTTCAGTTGCCTCTAAGCTATTGGCATCCATTCTGCTTCGCTGACTATCCTCAGTACGTGAATCATCCTACCTTGAAGAACAAGCTGATTTCCGTCCCAGCCGCGGATGCGTGGATAAAATCTTCACGCTCCGCCAGCTCCTCGAACACCGCCACATTTATCATAGGCCAACTAGACATACGTGCCGCTTTTGACTCCGTTGATCGACCTGCTTTATGGAGTTGCTTGCTACAGAACAGGGTGCCAGAGAAATATACCGCCATATTACGAGCATTTTACCTTCATACATCTGGCAGGGTGAGGGTCTATGGCAAGCTTTCCTAGCAATTCGCTGTCAATAGCGGTGTGCGATAGGGTTGCCCTACGTCCCCATTCCTCTTCAACTTCGCAATCGAAGACGTTCTGTCAAATGCTCTAGAAGGGTTCCAACATTTTGGTCTAAAGCTTCTACCGGGTGAGTGCAGGACCGACTTAGATTATGCTGATGATATCGCCTTACTTGGTGACGATCCTCAGGGTATGCAACTCATTCTGGATCGCTTGGCGGTCGAAGCATCTAAGTATGGCATGAGCTTCGCCCGATCGAAGTCTAAAGTAGTGCTAAAGAATTGGCTTTCACTTACTTCCGTGCTCACTTTCGAAGGTGCGCAACTTGAACAGATAGATAGTTTCACCTACCTTGGGAGCTGTGTTTCTGCTGACGGCACTATCAACAAAGAAATTTCTCTCCGCATCGCTGAAACTCGATCAGCGTTTGTCAATCTGAGGCACTTGTGGCGTCGTCGCGAGGTCTCATTCTCGCTAAAGGTCCGCGTTTACAGCTCGTCAGTTCGCCCAGTATTGCTGTATGGGAGCGAGTCCTGGCCGATTCGCGTGGAAGACATGCGTCGTCTTTCTGCCCTCGATAACGGTTGTTTAAGGAAAATTGCTCGTGTTTGGTGGCAACATCGAGTTAATAGTAATGACGTTCGACGTCGCATCTTGGGGAATGCGAGTATTATCTTCAACAAACTGGTTTTGTTGCTTCAGTTGAGATGGCTCAGATACGTCCTACGCGTAGCACCTGAGCGTCTACCGCGTCGCGCTCTATTCGCTCGTCAAGGACATGGCTGGAGGCGACCGCGTGGTAGTCAGCCTTCTAAATAGAGGCAGCACATGAAATCGCGGCTGACATCGTGTCTAGCCGCTGTTGGATCCGTACGTCTTCCAGGATGGGGACCCCAAGATGAGGAGTGCCAATGGCTTAACACTCTTGAAGACATGGCCCGCAACCGGAATCAGTGGAAGAATTGTGTACAGTATTGTATTGATTCACATGTTTGATACTTCAAACATTGAAAATGACAACAAAGAGAAAAATTGGCGCGTGAAAAACAACCTAAAAATGCTTTTTTCCATTTTTTGTCAAAATGTTCCTTTCTTCCTGCGGCATATCAGCTGAAGTGTGTTGCTTACCTTCAACTACTATGCCACGATAACTCTCCCCTATTAACTGCTCTTCATGGCTTTCTGTTGGCTCTGTGTCTAGTTTTTAGCCTGCTGAGACTACTACTACTAGTACTAACATGCTTCAGGGAGTATTTCGGTTACACAAGTCGCAGCGCCAGGATAGGTAATATCATTAGCTGAACTCCAATGTAAAGAACTGCAATACCTGCTTGAAACAAACTTGGTCTCATTATTCTCAACACCGAAAACTGTGAAAAGGTCGAACGTAGCACCATGTAAACGCAATCATCCACATGGCGATGGGTGTCCGCCGATTACCGGAAGCTAACCAGAGTCGATAAACGATGTGCAAACGCCAAACGTCGACACTGGCTGATCGTAATCACTGATGTGTGAACCACTCGAAAAACAGACGAAAATCTGAAATGCTCGGGAGTATGAATTGTGTCCTGCCATGGTCATACAACAGTGAAAGAAATGCGTGGATAACTTTGAATGCAGATAACTCTTGAAGTAAAATGTGCGATCCGCCAGAAGTCGTTCAAAAATTCAACTAGTTCGGCAGTTTTATCAGCGCCGTTGGAATTGAAAACGAGGTCACAAACCGTATAGCAAAAGCTCGGGGCGCTTTTGATAACCTTCACCACTTATGTTGAAGGCGCGACATCACCCTAAACTTGAAGGGTAGAATGAACAATGCAGCCAGACGTTCGACCCTACTGTAATGGTTGTGAAACCTGGCCCATTAAATCGGCAGAGGTAAAGAGGTTAGTTACGTTCGACAACCGGTGCCTTCGCAGTTGGCCTCACATCTGGTGAGAACACCGCGTGAGCAATGAGCGTGTTCGACGCCTCGTATATGGTACAGGAAGAAGTGAACCGCTCGGTACCGTTATATCACGCGCCAGGCTCCGATTGTTGGGCCACATTTTGCGCATGCCAACCTACCGACTCCCGCGACGTGCGTCGTTTTCGCACCGGGGGTCTGGATAGAGGAAGAGAAGACGTGGTCAAGCGATGACTTGGTCAAGAGGAAGTCACTTCGAAGTTGGACCCGGTTGGAGACTCTCGGCTCCCTGGTTGGGGACCGAAGGACGATGAATACGTCTGGCTGGATACACTTGCTGAGATG